TGGGATACATTCGCTTAAAACGATTTATTCTAAGTACTAAGTTAACTAGTGTATAAGTTTGAACACAATACATAAAACTTAACTATTTCTAACAAATTCTCAGGTGAATTCACATAACTCAGATGAAGTTCATGAGAAATATTATCAAGAATAAAATAACAAATACATTGAAGAGCTTTAGGTAGTGTTGAGTTCTCAGACCTAGATGGTTTAATTGCTTGCTGAGCTTTCATTGTCCTGCTGGACAACCTCTTCAGCGCCTACTTCGTGTAGAACTTTAACAGTAAATTCAAGTTATTAAACAACGTAACTGTAAGCATAAAGAATTTCACTTTATAGAATAACTGATTTGTAGTGATATACATTGGAAAAAAAAGAAAATATTAGAGAATCTATGGTGATTTTTCAGAGGAACACGATTTAGCTGGACGCTTCTAACACAAAACAATGAAGCACTTAGAAATAAAGGGAGGGTGCAGGTATTTCATTCTGTTAACTGCAAAACACCATTAATATTTAATGGGACTGAATTATATTAGCAAGATGTTAATGTAAGTTAATAGATGTATGGATTTCTGAAAAATGTCGAATCATAACAAGACGGTCAAACGGAACAATTCTTCAATTTCTTAATTATGATTAAACAATCGATATACATTGAATTCTATGAAAGCAACAGTAAAATATTCGAACTACATTGAAATCACGAGCCGATCTATGTTAGACCACCCTTGAAAACCTGGAACCACTGGATAGCCGTTACATCCTAATACGGAACTCTCCAGTAGTGTGTATCCACGACTTCGCGATCTTCAGTCTCGCGTACGAACGCTTAACCTCTAGACCAGCGAGTCACCACCCAACGGTGCTAATGTTAATTTAATCCACGATATTGAGCTACCATTTTTCAATGTCCTCGGTGGATAACTGCCTCACACTTGACGCAGTTGAGAAGCCGTGAATAGTGGTCAAGCGATTAAACGTTCGCGCGCGAGGCCGAGGATCCTAGGTTCGATTCGCGAATGAGAGGTTGTGGATGAAACAGTCGTTCAGTGATTCCGGAAATACAAATGGTGGTCCAAAATCGATCGGTTTATGATTTTCATAGAATTCAACAATCTTCGCAACACTATGTTGATAATTCACACTACGCTTTAGATCTTTATAAAAAAATACTATATATTCAGGCTAGGTAAAGAAAAAAATAATTCATTCCATATTATTATTACCTCTCATGAATACGTTGATTCACTACAACAGTTAATGGATTAAATGCCGGCAGAACTATATCAAATTTCGATCTGAACGTTAAACTTGTATGACTAGCACTGGCAACAATAGCTGAAGCTGAATATTTTAATTTTTCATTTGAGAGAAAATTAATAATCAAATGATTTTTCCCTTCGTTCCAGCTTGAGTAAATGAAACAAACGAAATAAAGACACAAAAATGATTATGATAATTTCTATGAATATTTGTTAACATTTCAACGAAAATTCTGACAAAAATTCAATGCTGATAATATGGAAGGCATTATATTTGATAGAATTTCAATGATTGCAGTATTTCATTCAGAGCTTCTTTAGAGAAATAAACAAAATCTACTTTGTTATGATTCGAATCTATTTATCCAAATCAAAATATTTAACACAGTAAAACGAGCGAGTTGACACAATGACTAAACTCAATGTAAATGCACTTTGTTTATTTTATTCAAAAAGCACAAACCAGCAGTTGGCATGGTTAAACATTGAAACTATGTGAATTTCAATCTCTACAATTATCTCAAATATTTTTTTACATATAATGATAATTTCAATAGTTAAAATCATGAGCCAATTGAAGCTAGACCACCATGGAAAACCCGGAAGCACTGGACGCCCGTTCCGCCACCCGTGGGATTCGAACCCAGGACCCGTCAGTCTCAAGCGCGAGCGCTTAACCACTAGACCACTGAACCGGTATCCAAAGGTGTTAATGTCTAACTTCAACCAATCCAGGAAATTGCGCCACCGTATGCCATTGTCTTCAGTGAGCTGATATCTCACAACAGACCTGGTTGAACTCCACTGGTCACGGCTTCTCACTAGAACTCCAAGAAATGCCTCTTAAAGTCCGTCACTAATGAGCAGATGATTATTATCAGAAGGGGTTTTGTGGAGATTTTAGTAGTTACTAAAATCTCCACAAAACCCCTTCTGATATAATGATAAACCGAAAAAAAGAAGACAAACCTTGGCAAATGATGTAAATAACGCATAGATAAATCGATTATTTGATTATTATCTGGATAAGCATATAATAAATCTAATCCTGGGATAATAATACATGCTTCTTCAATTTGATTCACATAATATTTACTAAATAAAATAGTATTATATAAAGAAATAAATGGTTGACTAAAACTTGTAAACATTAAACTATCATTTAAAGGATAAATATAAATTCGGATATTATGTAATGATTTGTCAATAATTTCACGAACACAATTACTAATATTGAAACATGTAGAATATGTACAATGTTTATTCATATACAAAGGTAATTGATAATAAGATTGTTGAAATTTTCTTGTATATTCTTCATTTGAAATAATCATCATATCATACAATGAATTAAAATTATTATTATCATTATTATAATGATAATAATAATAATAAATGATCATTGAAAAAATGATAAAACATATAAGAAAATATTTAAAACAATAAGAACCATTGATATTAACATTTGTTAACATCATTAGGGAATATGTTAAACTTAATAATAAACTGTTAATTGAAAACAACAAAATACTACCAAGACCATACACTCAACAACAACGAGAACAACAATAGCAACAAAGAATATACTCTTTAAAAATAACTAGAATGAATAAAGATCAACAAGATAATCCAGTTGGTCATTTTTTCTTCCTAAATTTAAAATACAAGGATCTCATGAAAGATGTAGGATGCCGGAACCTACAAAAATAAATTAAACAAATAAAAAGTAAAATCAAGCTAACTCACAAGACAAGTAGATATGGGATGACTGAAAAATAAATGTTTGAACTAAGATCAAAAATTAGCAATTAGTCGAGGGGGGGTAACACATTCAGCTTTTAGCCCTTAGATTCAAACTCTATCCCAACTAAGTTCTGTTTGAGCAGCTAATTAGTACTACTAACTCATAAAAATAGTGTGACTCAACGAATATATACACAAACCTACACTTAATAAACAAGCTACTGCTAGGAATAAACCAGGTCATCTAATTTTTGTGAATAAATGTTCGTCCATCTTTGTGACGACAATAGAGATCACAAGTTTCCTAATTCGTGTTGCTGTACGATATTGACCATTTTCTGACTCATTATTACTACTTTAAGTTAGCTAATTTGTCTATTCCAAAGTTCTATTTAGTTGTTGCATATATAGTCATTCCACTTTAATTTGATCTTCATTAAACATCAGGTTTTCATTTATTCTGTTGTCTTCTTTATGAGTTCAATCAATGGGATTATCGTTAGAGTTTTGTGAGTCAGTTGCTGCCTGATCAAGTTCTTCGCAGAATCCGTTCGTACAAGAATAACCTCGATTGTCCATTAACGGCGATTACCGTAGACCGAATTGAACAAGACTCAAAATAAAACAGGTACATCAAGAGAAACTACAATCTATGGACGACGAGCTCACGTCAGCTACAATGCCAAAATGCTGTTTATTCATATGGATAAATGAATTGCGCGTCGAAATTCAAGGCTTGCTATTTTAAATCTTATTGGCTCGCCCATTAATTATAGTCTCGCCTGTACACCATCACTATTATTTATGTCATCATGACGTTCAAGCAATGGATTCACGAATGGGAGCCTCTTATTTCTCAAACTGATTGAACTAGTACCTAAAACTACTTTAAGGTAAACTGTAAACCAACACTCGACGGTACAATATTTAAAAGGGAAAGAGCAATGTGATTCCATCTACATGCACTGTATGATAATATCATAGTTAATTCAAACTACTTAAGGGTAAGAATTTTAATAATTGAGCGCATTGGAAGGAAATCAAAAACGTTTTAAAACTAACAACCCAAGTGCATAACAGCCGAAAAATAAAATATTTGTGTGTGAAATAGAAGCATGTGGAATGATGATAGAATACCTACTTACATATTATATGAAATATTACTGTTCCAAACCAATAACTTTCCCTTGATTGTTTTCTAAAAATCGTACACAATGAAAAAAACTGAGAACTACGTATACACAGTTTCCTCATGGGATTTCACTTCAGGATGTTGTAAAATGTTGTGTAATATAATGTTCCATAACTAATAACCCAGTGCACCAGATAAATGAAGTAGTCTACATAATCAATTTTTAACCTCGCCATTGTTGGGACTAATACAAATGGCTAACGGAACCACTTAAAGAGATGCCACTAAGCTAATTAAGCTTATAAGACTCTGCAAAACTAGATAAGAATTAGCGAACCAAGTATAGAAACAATCATTCGGTAATGCGAATATTTGTGTAGTGCTACGCGTAACAACGAGAAAATGATAGTCGAGTTACACTTAAAATTGGGTAAAGTCCGGTAGAAGATAACTCTTCTTAATACCTAAAAGCAACATTTTAAAAACTATTCCATATAAAAAAAACTCATACCTTTGTTTATACAGAAACTAATCAAAGCATATTATAACTTAATGGAGTCACTTAAAAGTAAATTTCTAATAAATTCTTATGCATTATTCCATTTGGGGTGAAATACCCACCATTAGTTTAGTTATGATTATACATTGTCGTAAAAGTTCACTAAGGAACATTTTAATGCTAATCTAATGCTAATATACCAATTAAAAAAAAACAAAGATCTAACCATTCTTGTACATATATAGTTGTAATTCAATCCTTATTTGAGTATCAATTACAAAGAAAGGACATAGAAGTAAAATAACGACAACAAATCCTCATCAAACGCAAGCTAGCCTAATGAGTGTATATGCGAATGTCGGTCAACATACATGACCAATGAAATCAAACATAATATTTCCATTAAAAAAATTAAAGATTTTAAAGTAGAAAATATTTTATTGAATAAATATTACTTTACAAATTATAAATTATCAGATGTATTGTAAGAGAGCTTTTTGCGTTTGAATTGATGAACGCATTGATTGATAGATACGCAATGCTTACATTGATCGCAATGAAATTTCTTAGCAGGTCTACATCGATTACATTTATCACAGTGTACATAGGTTGGTCCATTCTAGATTAGGATGTTAAAATGGAAAATATTTATGTAAAATGAGTGGATACTATATTTTTATGTTGATAGGAATTACTCATTAAATATTTTAAAAACATTGGCCACTTATCCGTAAAATAACTAATTCTGCCATAAGAAACTAAACGACTCAGAACAAAAGCAAGATGATGGTATACTAATGCACTATCAATACTTTTAGTGGAAAATGAAGATAGTATTAATTAGAAATTAGATAAATAATCTATTCACCTGGTACTTGGGTACGAGCCAAACTTAAGGTGTAGTAGTTAGTGATACTACCCAAACTGAAGTAGACGGAGTGAAGTTAATACACGGAAATTCGTGGATGAAACTTAAACGCCTTGCCATTGGGCCACCACCCCACTATTCGGAAATACCAGATAACCTTTTACATAGAATCCTGATACACTGACATTACAAATCAGCAAAATTTTATGGTAGTTATACTTTAGTGAGCGAAATCGTGATTACAAGTAAATGTATGGAAGTAAAAGTTATGGGCACTGTTCGAAAAACAGTATGGAAAAATATGACCAGATATTTTCCGTGTGAAATCATTTGGGGTCTGTTAACTTTAAAGAAGAAGTAGAAAAAGATGTGCATACTTATTCAGATGCTTAAATATTACCAGGTAATTAAACAGTTATTTATGTTATAGTAATATTAGAGTGTCCTTAGATAAGACTCACTTTAGTTGTGCAACGGTCACATTTAGGACAGTGTAGATTTGCTATGTGCGAATAACGTTGACAAATTTCACAAAACCTAAATGTCAAGAATAAACCATTATACTTGAAACTATAATAATATGAGTTTATAATAAAGAAACATTTAGTGTTAGAGAGTATTAGATAATCGGTTTTTTTCTGCTTTGACAATTAATAGTACTATGTATCGATTAATTCTCAATGATAAACTCATGAAGACACAGGAAACCAAAACTAATGCATTATTCTTTGAATCACTGAGGATTTTTTAGTTAAACTTCGGGAATGGACTTGAATTTTTGATCATTTCTCCACTGATACAAATATATTCACATTTAACCCTAACTAGGTGATCTTTTTTGTTTGTAATGATGAACAGAAATCCTCCGGTGATAACCATACAGAAACCAGATTGGTTAATGTAATTTATAAAGTCTGAGACTAAATTAACATGGGACGACTAATTGGACTTCGGAAGAAGAGAATCTTGGGAAATAAGACGTATTAAGACTGGTTATGAGTATTTTAATTAAACTTTCACATTACATCACCTTTCGGATTTATATTTTATTTATTTTATTTTAACACATAGATATTGGTACAAGAAGGCACCAAATACATATGCGCCACACAGATATCAATTGATATGTGTGAGGGCTGTGATACCGCCCAGGTGCCCAAACCGAAGCAGGTGGTTTTCTTAGGGGGCCACACCCCGAGCCTTCGACCTGAACGTCTGATCCACAAGGCAGTGGAGCATCGTGAGGAGATGCAGTCCCATGGTAGCCGGTGACCAACGATTGGTTCATACGCCATTTGTTCCCTCAGGCAGGATACTGGAGCCCATGTGCACCATTGGTTTGGGATCCGGTTAAAGCGCCGGAAATTTGCTTTTCGTCCTCTCATTTTAGTAAACAACACCCTCACCACGAGAAGGCAGTGAGTAGGACTTCCCTGGCATAGGCTATATACGCGTGGCCATGTGAGAGTATTTCGAGAGGGAGAGCGGACTCTCCCCACTCTCGGCCGTACCAGGGCGTTTGGGAACGTACATATGATTGTTTTCGTTAAGTTTCACTTGCAATACTTACCTCAAAAGCATCTACAGTAGTATGCTAGAGGGAGAGGTATCAAAAAACTTCGTTAAGTTACTGAGGATTTGAACAAAAATATATTTCATTTTGAGCAATCAAGTATTGTAGCCATAGGACAAAATATTGTGACTCAGAGTCGGATACACAGATCTATTTTCTGGTAGTCGCGCCAGATACTACAATGGAAAATCACTTGATGTGATGCTCATCAAAGTTTTTTACTCTCCTCATTTTTAAGATAAGCTACTACAAGTAAAATATCATATGATCTCTCAAGATTTCATAGTTTATCTCAATATCTCCAGGTTAACCTGTAGTGCTTAGATGACGTATCTTGTAGCTGAATTAATAAGAATATAACTCAATTACAAGGTGAAGTTTACTGTTCTCGATTTGAGTTACACCTTAGATGTATGAGGGCTAGTGATACTACAGAGATCTATAGATGGAAGATAATGATGAAATTAATGCAGTGTGACAGAGAAATAACAATAACTGTTTATGTTTATTCTATTGGTTTATTTTCTACAACTTAATAGTTTGCTCGGTTCTACCTTATGTCTATTTGTACCTGTATTTACACCTGTTACGCAATTTTAGCACATTTTTTTATTCAGTGAGGCGAGGTCAACTGAAACGTACTACATCACGTCCTTACGATTATCAAATCTGTACTTTTGACAATCAACAACACAAAAAATGACATTCAGTCTATATACACTAAGTAACTAGGAAATACCTGAAACATTCCTCTACTGATTTAGGTGGATGGACCAAAGAAGGCAGTAAACTTGTAAATAAGCGAACAATTGAGTCGCGCCTCTGTCCTCTATTTGAATCACCAGTTTTATTATTTAAATCCCTGTGGTTTCGATTATCAGTGATATCACAATCCAGTCTTGAGTGGTTTTCATAAGTGATCTTTACGTGTAATAACATTAGCAACACTGTTGATTACTTTATAATCTAGCAAGTTCAAAAAGGGGGCAATCTTCCGCAGCTTTTTCTCGAAGAAAAATGGGAGAACTAGCAGATATGGAATATCATTTTGATTTAAATTCTTGCAATTATTTTTAGTAACTAAAAGTGTATAATTATCGTATATTGCAAAGTACTTTTGAAACTTGAAATATACTGTATTATTGAATTGATCTGCTTCACAACTAACGACAATGGTGCAGAGAATGGAGGATCACAGAATATGCAGCATTTATCACCAGGCTTTATATTATCCTTGATGAAATGATGAAATTTTTCTTCTTCCGTTCGACTGAAGAAAAATCCGTTTACCATATTATATCGTGAGAAACGATGTGGATTATAGAAACTAGACTGCAGAAATCAAAAAATTAATATGCACTTACCAGCCGAAAGTCCATATCTAATAAATACGAGTCTAATAATTGCCCTCTATGTATGTGCTGAAGTTGGATGAAATCATGTAGACGTGGTGAACCAATACAGATGACATAGTTTACTGACAGTTTTTGAATAATGGAATACAGTCGATTCAAACTGTCTAAGGAGAAAAAATATTGCTAGAGGACTTGTGGGTAAGTAGAATACAAGACGTACTGCATGAGCCTTAGAATTTTCGAGTGGTTTTAGCAGGTACGATGGCATTCCCAATAGATTATTTGATAAATTTTTCCTATACTCGTGCATTTCATGCTTTTTTCCACTCAGTGACAACGAAAACAAACAATCACAAGTGTAACAATAGGCTCTATCTGACTGACTTATCTCAAGAATATCTTCCAATGGCCAGTTTCTAAAAGTGCTGCTCTGGTACAAGTCTTGTTTCTCACATTCACCTTTATCACGAAATGCCGAACAAGCATAATGAAACGAATGGGAGATCTGATCAACTATTTTTAACATAGGACCATGTGAACATGTAGGCCCGTCAGTTGGCAGTTCGATTATCTGAGACTTTTTTGGAAATGAATGTTCCTATAACAGAAAAATAAGCATTGTCATTATGACGAAAATAGAAGTTTGTCAGCTTGAAGCAACGCATCCATCTGTTTGTTCAATAATGTTACTCTTTAAAGGATTACAGAGAAACAGAACTAATAAAAATAGTGAAATAAACTGACAATGGGACCAGCCAAATAGTATGAAGTAATTGATTGTCGTCTAGTGAGTATATTATTCAGTGATACTAAATATATCAGGATGCCACTATTTCCAGTGACCAAATCCAAGCAACCTAATTTAGATCTAGCAAAGTCCAAATCAACAGTTGGACATTTTGCGAAACGACGTCACTTCTTAGTTTAGCCACTCTGATACCAGTTTAAAGACAGAGTTCACTTAGATCAAAGATTTACATCGAGATAGCAACTGAAACGATGCATAGCACAAAACGATGATATCATCTGTCTGTATTTCGGAAAAGGTGAGAGTATATGTAAACAATGGCATTTTACTTTCACTAAGAAGCCTTGATAAACACATGTTCAATAAACTTAGCATTAGATACGTTATTTTAGATTATGGTTGAAAATAATCCTTTGGGTTAATTGCAATACCCGAACGTAAATACTACTGAGAACTTTATGTAAAAATTGTTAACAAATTATTCACCTCATATAAATCAACAGTTTGAATCATATCGAATGGATAGAAAACTTAATTGTCCTGGGGAAGATAAAGGCAAACGCCTTAGGTGTACTGCAGTATACCTAGGAAGTAAGCGAATTTGTCTATTAAAGTGATTGCTTTGGTAGACAATCCTGCCGAATTTCGAGCGAACTTAACTATTTGACGTGTTAATATTGATAAAGAATAGACAACTTGATTTTAATTTTGAGAGTTAGGGTATAATTTCGACATATTTCGCATAAATAGGGAGATTTAAGGGGAAAATCTGCATTGCTTGCCCGAGATTTCCGATCCCCCGAATTCCAGGGGATTTTGCCAACGACGAGAAAATCAGAAAAACTGAAACAGAAAATCTTGAATAAATAAGACTAAATCCCCCAAATGTTCCCTGGTCGAGTTTTACACAAACCGCGCAAGCTGTTTTGAGGAAATTGCCAAAACGCTCGAGCGGATTTCGGGTCTGCTGCAATATTTCTTTAGACTGGTGAAAAATACAAATTTTCATAAGACTTTAAAGAAAACCCAGAACCAGGTATTTGAGCTGATGAAAAACTTTTTGTGTTAATTAGGGCTAAAATTTGATTCAAGGTCGCCTATAATCACATATCTTTTCAAAGGAATTTTCACTGTTTACTCCTTAAATATCGTCCTATTTTATTTGTCTAGCAGACCTTGGAAATATCATTGAAAATATCTCTACCTCTTGACTTTGAGGAAATTTCTGGGTTTTCTCCAAAGTCAAATGATAATTCGTAATCTTATACCTAATTTGGTTGTTTCTCCAGACATGGGAAAATTTTGGTGTTTTGTGCCATTCCCACAAAATAGGGAGATTGGGTAGTCAGCTTGGCAAATGAATTGCATAACCAGAGGGTAAGACTGACTAATACCCCTTGCCAACAACACTTTTTATAATGTTATGTCAAACTAGTGCAGGTTGGAGTGTTGTGAAACAGATACTTGCGACCGCACATTGCTTTTCATCTTGTCCATTTAAAAAGCATAGGTAACGCAAACACTTAAATACAGGACGTCTAATCATATTGTTCAAGAAGATATGATCAGGTCCAACGGGTTTCCTTATCTAGTGGTATTGATTAAATAACACCTTCAAGAGAACGCCTAAATTTGAAGAGGAGGCAGGATTGAAAGAAATATTGGTAAGCTAAAACAGAGTCTCAATGAGTTGTTTGCAGAACCTTGTTAATTTCATAGCTGATTGAAGAAAAATAACCACTGAATGCCATAAAACTGAAGTATGTGGTATTAGGTATGGTGCAACAAGGTAATTAGCACGGAAATATGGTAAACCAAAGCGATTAGTGGAGGACAAAAATTTTCAGGGATTCACGAACAGCAAAGGACTCCTGAACAGATCAGCCCCACCGCACCCACTGGATATCGGAACAGCACACACAGACATTCCTACAGATGTCACTCCATCAACGATGGAAGAAATTGGGATGGGCATCAGACAAATCAAGAGTGGGAAAGCAACAGAACCTGACAATATACCAACCGAAGCACATAGAAGTAATCGAAAACATGCTTCATGTTCTATTCGGGAAGATTTGGAGGAAAGAACATGTGCCGACAGACCAGAAAGAGGGATATCTCATCAAGATGCAAAAAGAAGATCTGAGCATATCTGAAAACTACAGAGGTATCATACTACTATTGGTACCAGGACAAGATTTCCATAGAATGTTACTGAACCAGATGAAAGATTCAGTGGACGTCCAGCTTGGAGATCAACAGACTGGATTCCGTAAGATCCGATCGTGCAGAGACCAAATTGTGACACTCTGAATCATCACTGAACAATCGATTGAATGGAAGTCGTCGCCATGCATTGACTTCCTTGACTACGAGAAGGCATTTAACAGTGTGGATAGGAAAACATTATGAAAACTTCGACACTATGGAGTACCTAAGAAAATCGTCAATATCCGGAATTCATACGACAAACTACACTGAAAGGTAGTGGATAGAGGACAGCTGACAAATGCATTCCAAGTGGGGACCGGAATCAGACAAGGCTTATTACTCCCTCCCATCCTCTTTCTTCCGGTAGTTGACTGGATCTTAAAGACCTCCACATCTGAGGAAAAACGCGGAATACAATCAACGACTTGCATGCAGTTAAACAGTTTGGACTTCACAGATGACCAGGCCCTTTTGTCCGATACACATCAACAAATTCGGGTCTATACAAGCAGTGTAGCAGTAGTCCTCAACATACACAGTGAAAGATTCAAGATCCTGAAGCATAACACAGTCATAACTAATCCAATCACACTTGATGGAGAAGCTCTGGGAGAGGTGAAATTTTCCGTGTATCTGGACATCATCACTGAAGGACAATGAGGATCAGATGCAGTCGTAAAGATAAGGGTTGGTGAATCAAGGGCAATATTACTATAGTTGAAGAATGTACGAAACTCAAGACAACTGTAAGCTAACACCAAATTGTATTGCGCTGCAAGCGCTAACTTGGAATCCTGAGGTGAAACGGAAAAGGTCAGTGAGCATAATGCACCGAGATTTGAAAGCGGACATCAAAAGAATGGATAGCAACTGGAAAGAACTGGAAAGGATTTCCCAGGAAAGGGTTGGCCGGAAAATGCTGGTGGGTGTATTATGCTCCTCCATAAGGGATGATGGACATAAGTATATTTCTATCCAGGAACTTATTACAACATTATTGCGAATATAAAATGAACATATGTGCAGGTTAGCATTTTGTGATTTCATAGCTTCTTGTTGTTCCTGACTACGATTTCACTCTCTTTCCTAACTTTTCAACCTTGTAAAATGCACACAATTTTACATAAAATATAAAATGAACCAATTATCTACCAAATTTCTGCTGGCTACCTCGAATGTAACTTTGATATCAACTGAATTTGAAATAGCTGTTTGGGTTTCGTCAAGTAAAGAATTCGTTATGATATAAAATCTTGAAAAATATTATGCTTAATTAATTTTCCAAATAAATGATGATTGTGAAAAAACAAGCAAAATTCTTCCGGAAAAATGGTATGTTTAAAACAAAGGTGAAAATATACTAATATCACAACACCTGATTTGACTGTTTATTTAACTTCCCACGGTTAGTCTACAGAAAGCTCGATTCTGAAATTCTGTATAACAATAGGACTTTGGAGGATGGGTTAAACCTCATTCTTGAACTAGGACACACTTTTCTAATTTAAGGGGACTCAGTATTTATAGGTTTGCGAGTGTAAATTCATTCAAGTATAGTCTCTTTACTCGGTAGAACTAGGGTTATATGAATATATGGAATCAGAAACTCAATTGCGAAAAACTAAGATGCTATGAAGCTCGGAACGTGTATTCCTTCAAGAATAACTCATGCTTCATCATTTTTAGTTCTCTATGACCCTTAATTAAGAAGTAATTCTATCCTCGACTTCACTTCAGTTTAACTAAACGGCCCTGCAGAAAATATTGCTAGTAAAACTGTAAGTCTTCTACTTTGACGCTGATCTCATTAGTTTTACCGGACACACCTTAGTTAAAAGTGCTCGGCCGAGCATCCGAGTACATCGAGCTAAGCATCCCTCCCAATAACTGGTTAGCTTATATCACGTATTTATCGACGTAGCGATTACCTTCCTAACGTGTCTCCAAACCACTTCGTTTCAGATTTCTGTTTTGGCTGACTTAAGGATCTATTGCCGAATGAAAAATGTCATATTGATTGTCATCGATTTCGCCGTTAAAGATGAATTTGTTTCACCGAAATATTGAACCTGTTTATCGTAGAATTTAAACTCGGCCACTTGTGACTAAGTAAACCATATTGCCAACAGACCTTGACTTTAAATATATATAAGTTTTTCAAATTTCAGTAGCAGAAATGCATATTGCAGCTTCAAAAGTAGATATTGGCCTACTAGAGTTCAAGAGAATAAATGAGACTGATTAACTTTCCAAACCTTAAGTTCAAAACGGTTCAAATGGTTGTGCACGTAATAGAAGAATCTTTCGCTTAACAGGCTCCCGTGTCTAGTAGCAGGGGATCACCAATACCTCCAGGCAAGAACCTAGGTATATTAACGATAAAAGAGAAAAAAATGAACTGGTGAATCATAGTAAGATACTATCCTTAGTTCTTAAGAATAGATCAAGTCGCCTCCTAAAGGACTCCTGGGAAGTTGCTTGAACTAACTCAGCTGGCAGAGAATTCCAGCATTTGACAACTCCTAAGGAGTAGAAATTGTGCCTGCAGTCCGTTCTACTATGTTGTATCTCTAATTTCTGGGTATAACCCCTTAGGTTAGTGTTGGGACTAAGCTTAAGTAGGTGTTTAAGAGGGTGTCCAGGTGTGTTAAGGATACTGTAAGTCATTAGAAGGTCACATCTAAGACGCCTATACTCCAATGGGTAAAGGTCGAGTGACTGGAGGCGCTCATCGTAAGGTTTAAATTTGAGTCCCCGAACTGATTTCGTGGCTCGCCGTTAGATACGCTCCAGAGTGTCCTTATCCTTTTGGAGTTTAGGAGGAAATACTATGTTTCCGTACTCAAAATGGGGACGAATGAAACCATTGAAGATTATGTGGAAAGTTCTCCCGTCAAACTGAGCAAAAATGCGCTTCAATGATACCAGTTCAAGGTTTGCTCGAAAGGCATTTCTGTCACGGTTGGCGTAAGACTTTAAGTCGTAGGGCACTAGAACTCCTAAATCTTTTTCGACTCGGGATACTACTAGAGAGTTTCCTAAGTTGTAACTGTAATCTGCGACGTGTCGCAGGTGGACTACTTTACACTTTGAACTGTTAAAAGTGAATCCGCTATCGTCTGCCCAACTTTGAAGTCGAGTCAGAAATGCTTGTATGTCCTCCTGGTCGCGTATTTCTCCCAAAGTTCCACGTCATCGGCAAAGAGCAATATGTCTGAAGTTACCTGTTGAGGAAGATCATTTATATAAATCAGGAAGAAAAGAGGTCATACTACTGAACCCTTGTGGACCCCACTAGGACAGTCCATAGCCTTTGAGAAATTGAAGTTTACCCTGACCTTAAAATGTCGATTTGTCAGATATGAACTGAGCCAGTCAATTAAAGGAGGTTTGATACCCAATTGTTTGAGATTGTTAATAAGACAGATGTGGTTAACCCTATCAAAAGCTTTACAGAAATCAAGGTAAATGATGTCCATCTTCCCCTTGCGATCAACGATTCTCGTCCATCTGTCCACCTCGGTCAGCAGGTTCGTCATACAGGAGTAACCCTTCCTGAAACCATGCTGTTGGGATGAGAAGAAATTTAAGGACAGCAGCAGATAGTCGTGTATACCATCGTATAGCAGGGACTCCATGATCTTTGAAGGTACAGAGAGAAGAGCCACCGGTCGGTAACTTGAAGGTTCGCTGCGTCGATCTCCTTTGAAGATTGGTGTGATATGAGCCAGCTTCCAAATATCCGGTAGTTTGCCTCGACTTAGCGAGTGTGAGAACATCACGCTAAGCGATGTTGCCAGGATTGAAGCTGCTTCCCTCAGTATAGTAGAGTGGACCATATCTGAACCAGGAGAAGTGTCTGTTCTCAGGTCTTGTAGTTTACGGGACAAAAAGTCAGCGCTCAGTTTCACTGCGGAAAGTCCTGTGCAGTTGCAGATGAAGCTGTCATAAATATAGTTAGTGTGATTCGGCTGAAATGCCCGGGATTATTGCTCAACCAAAAGTTCAGCGGCGTTACTGGGCCATTAGGACCTAGCAGTTGAGAAACTCCAGTTTTGGCTTGACGAAGAGAGGATGAATAACGGAATAAGCTTTTCGGATTGGAGACAAATTAATCCATAAGCTTTATCTGGTACTGAAGCCTGTCTTCTCTTATAGCCTTCGTACATATGTTCCTTATATGTTTGTATTGCCTGTACTCGCCGTTGTTGTTGGTTCGTTTGTATTCTGCTCAACAGTGCCTTTTGCGGCTTAGCAAACGAAGAGTGCGGTTCTTGATGACCGTAAACTGCTTGTAGATTCTTGAGACCATTTGAGGAGCGGACTGGTTTATAGTACATAAGAGCATGTACAGTAAT